TTTTGTTTATCTATGCTACATTTTGAAATCCCGGTCTGTCCCTTCCCATCCCCCACCCCCTTGGCATCCACAAGTTTGTATTCTGTCTATGAGTCTGTTTCTATTTTGTATTTTTTTTTTTTAGATTCCACATATGAGCTATCTCATATGGTATTTTTCTTTCTTTTTCGGGCTTACTTCACTTAGAATGACATTCTCCAGGAGCATCCATGTTGCTGCAAATGGTGTTATGCTGTCGGTTTTTATGGCTGAATAGTATTCAAATGTATAAATATACCACATCTTCTTTATCCAATCATTGTTGATAGACATTTAGTCTGCTTCCTTGTCTTGGCTATTATTAATAGTGCTGCTATGAACATTGGGGTTCAAGTGTCTTTTTGAAGTAAGGTTCCTTCTGGATATATGCTCAGGAGTGGGATTCCTGGGTCATATGGTAAGTCTATTCCTAGTCTTTTCAGGAATCTCCATACTGTTTTCCACAGTGGCTGCACCAAACTGCATTCCCACCAGCAGTGAAGGAGGGTTCCCCTTTCTTCACACCCTCTCCAGCATTTGTCATTTGTGGGCTTTTAAATGATGGCCAGTCTGACTGGTGTGAGGTGATACCTCAGTGTAGTTTTGATTTGCATTTCTCTGATAATTAGTGATATTGAGCATTTCTTCATGTGCCTATTGATCATTTGTGTTGCTTCCTTGGAGAATTGCTTGTTTAGGACTTCTGCCCATTTTTGGATTGGGTTGTTTGTTTGTTTCTTATTAAGCTATATGAGATGCTTAAATATTCTGGAGATCAAGCATTTGTCAGTTTTATTTGCAAAAATTTTCTCCCATTCCTTAGGTTGTCGGTTTGTTTTACTTATGGTTTCCTTTTCTGTGCAGAATCTTGTAAGTTTCATTAGATCCATTTGTTTATTCTTGTTTTTATTTCTATTTCTTGGGTAGACTGTCTTAGGAGAACATTTTTGAAATGTATGTCAGATAACATTTTGCCTATATTTTCTTCTAGGAGGTTTATTGTATCTTGTCTTATGTTTAAGTCTTTGATGCATTTTGAGTTTATTTTTGTGTATGGTGTAAGAGAGTGTTCTAGCTTCATTGCTTTACATGCTGCTGTCCAGTTTTCCCAACACCATTTGCTGAAGAGGCTGTCTTTATTCCATTGCATATTCTTGCCTTCTTTGTCGAAGATTGGTTGACCAAAAGTTTGTGGGTTAATTTCTGGACTCTCTATTCTGTTCCATTGATCTATATGTCTGTTTTTGTACCAATACCATGCTGTCTTGATGACTGTAGCTCTATAGTACTGTCTGAAGTCTAGGAGAGTTATTCCTCCAGCCTCTTTCTTTTTCTTCAGTAATGCTTTGGCAATTCTAGGTCTTTTGTGGTTCCTTATAAGTTTTATTATGATTTGTTCTAGTCCTGTGAAATATGTCCTGGGTAATTTGATAGGGATTGCGTTAAATCTGTAGATTGCCTTGGGCAGCATGACCATTTTAACAATATTGATTCTTCCAATACAGGAGCATGGGATATCTTTCCATTTTTTAAAGTCTTCTTTAATTTTCTTCATCAATGATTTATACTTTTCTATGTACAATGCTTTCCCTCTTTGCTTAGATTTATTCCTAGGTATGTTATTACTTTGGGTGCTATTTTAAAGAGGATTGTTTCTTTACTTTCTTTTTCTGTTGATTCATCATTAGTGTAAAGAAATGCAGGGAAAGTATTGGATAAAATAAACATTTCACTGAAGCAGCTCACGATAAGGTTTTGTAAGCAGACAGTGTTGTGCCTGGGAGCCCTGCCACCTCAGAGGTAGTTGCCAAATGGTAGGAGATCACAAAAGGGACCCTTTGTGGAATTTCAGGGTGAGTCTCATTGCTCCATAATGGGTCTGCGTCTGGGGACAAAATCCACAGTCTCCGTTTATGTGTTATCTCTTCTGCTTATTTTTGGTGTTTTGATTCTTCCTAATGAAAGAAGCCAAGATCAATAAGTGCTTCCACCGTAGTTTCTTGGTTTCCTTACTGTACGTATTACAGTACAAGGAGAACAGTGCTTATTGGTCAATTGCTAGGTTACCATAATTAATACTGACAGATAGGAAACAAAACAAATTAGGTGGTCAAATCTTCCTCCAGTGCATAAAGCTTTACAATGATTACTTTCAATATTAGATTCATTATATTCTATTCTTTACCACTGTGTTCTGCTTGACAGCAGCGGTACCTGAAAACCAAAGTCTTGTGAATAGCTACGATGTGGGACATACTGGGCTAGGTGCCATGGCCACATGGATGAGTGGAGTCCACTATATTATGTATTAAACACAAAAACAAGTGATAGTGAGTGGAGAGAACCATGTGGAGGAGAGTCCAAGAGAAGGGGCTGGTCACTGCCTCCCCACAGGAAGCAGAGGGTACTTCCTAGAGGAGATGTTGAGTGGATTAAGTCAAGGAAGATGAGAGTTGAGCAGGAGTTGCTCCTGAGCAGGAGGAAGGGTGCTCAGAGCAGAGGGAGCAGTGTGAGCAAAGGCTGAGAGATGTGGTAGGGCTCATGGCTGCCTAGCTACCCAGTGTGGCAACAGTAGACAAAGGGGGCAGGAGGAAGGCCAAGGAGTAGATCACAGAGTGAATAATTATGGAAAACAGGATAGTTAGGAAAGAAAAAAGACTATCATAAAATTCAGAGCATGATGTCATTCCCTGTTGTTTTGGGGCAATTTGAGATCTTTCATTTGATTTAGCATGATGCAAATCTAACCTAAGTTTCCTTTAACTTCCCCGGGCTCAATAGAAGTCCGTTTTTTGAGGAATAAATTGCAGACAGACTTTGCTGGCATAACCATACAAGGGTTCCAGATGACAGCCAGTGATGGAAATTAGTGCTGGTAGTGGAACCAGCCTGCCTGGCTTGAACCTGGTCTGCTACCTATTGGAAATATATTTTTGGGCAAGCTGCTTCAACTTGCCATGGCTCAGACTGCTCATCTTAAAGAAGTGGAAACAGTACCCAACTCATAGGAAGATTATGAAGGATAAGTTAGTTTAAAACCACTAAAATAATGATTGTCACAGGTAGTCCTTAACTGGCTATTTCTAAATTGATTAACATCACCATTGTGGTTCTAAGAAACAAGTTCTGGAGTTGTCTATTACCAATCTTCAGGGAAAAATTTCCTAAAGTCTTTCATGTTCACTTTTAATAAAGTTAAAATACTGTTTCTAGTCTTACAAGTAATGTAGAATATGGGTTTAAAATAAAATGATAAAACAAATATTTGACATGAATGAAATTAAAAATTCTGATAAAGGGAAATAGCTGTAAATTAACAAAGAGAAAAGAAAAAATGGAAAAAAAACAAAAACAGAAGTGAAAAAAGTGATGATTTGAATGTGTTTCTGGAATGGTTTGGCTGAACAGTAATGAATTTGAATTTTGCTCCAATAGTGTGCAGAACTAATAACAGTGCTCCTTCAGCTCTGGCACGAGGCACTGGAAATGCAGTGATAAATGAGACATGGTGCTAAGAAGGTTACAGCCTCTTTGGGAGTATAAACAACAAACAATTACAGTGTGAATAGTGCTGTGAAAGAACCAAATTGGGGCATCATGAGGAAACTTCACCCAGTTTTTTGAGTGACATGTCAAGAGCCTCGAGGAAGAAGTGGCATCTGAGAGGAAACAGAAAGATGAGTGGGTGGGAGGAGCAGCAGGGTCTGTGGTCAAAGCTGAAGTGACATGGTGCATGGAGGTCGAGCGTGCTGCAGTAAGTTATTTAGTGGGCACTGCGAGTGGGTTGAATAGGGCTTAGAGCAGCGTGCTGGAGTGAGCTGGTGTTAAAGCTCTCCAAGCTATGGCATGGAGCCTTAGACTTCCCGTGCGGGAGCCACTGAAAGAATCTGACTTGGAGGAGCCTTGGCCACTGCACTGTGTCAGTGTTACTCGGGTAGCACTGTGAAAGTGACCTGAGACAAGTGGAAATACTGGTAAGGAGACCTATTCAGGGACTCTTGTAGCAATCCAGAAAAGAAATGAGAGTGGCTTGAATTAAAAGTAGATAGTACACCAGAGACTGACACAATGTAACTGACTATACTTCAATAAAAAACAAAACAACAAAAAAATAATGAAGTAGAGACAGAAACAGATGGAACAGGTATTTTCAGTTGTGGAAACCGTGTTCTTGTGTGCTGGGTGTAAGAGTCAAAAGAGACCACACTGAGGCTTCATTGTGTTATTTGAGAGAGTGTAATACATTCCAAGTGTAGCCATGCTGGGAAGGCAACTGAATACATAGACGTGGCTTCCCAGCTAGAGATGTGGGATGGAGAGAGGGACTTGGGAGGCAGCTCGCTTCAGTGGTAATGATGTCATGAGAGTATATATTCTCACCTGGGGGACTTTGCAGAATGAAATCAGCAAAGTTCCTCCAATAGCCTACAAGAGATATCACATTATCCAATCAGGCAGAGAAGGGAGAGTAGCCAGAGGACAGGATGAAAACCAGGTGGTGGTTTACTACCTGGAAACCAAGGAGAGAGAGATTTTTAGCCAGGAGGGAATGGTGAGAGAATGATCAGTAGCTAGAGATGTTATAGACAGGGTACCTAAAATTACTAAGGGAGAAAGTATTAGCGTGAGTTTACCAAGAATGAGCTTACTTACTTTGAAAGTAATTTAAGTGACTTATAAATGAGTGGGAATTGAGAAATAAAATTTATAGTTTCAGTACTAAAGATTGAACTTTGAGGAAGCAAAGAAAATTTTAAAGTAGATTGTGTAGACAGTGAGAGAAGGAGCAGGATAGTCAGGTTTCACTGAGTTTCCAGTCTTGGTCAGAGACCATGATTCTCTGAAAGTAACTCCTGGGCAGGGTGTGTGCTTATGTCACAGGTTTTTGTTTTGTTTTGTTTTAATTTTTGCAAGCAGGCAGAGAGTGCTTGCATAGTTTTTGAAAGTATATAGAGAGTAAACACTTCTCTTGGTTCACAGCAGAGCACTACTTCACATTCCTGAAACTCACCTAGAACATTGGGGAATTTTCTGAATGCAGCCTATCCCATGTAATGGCGTCTAGAGTTAAAGAAGAGCATTGCAGCATAATAATAATTGTATTGTAAACTATCCAGAAAAACCTCAGTCAAGATGTTCTTTTTCTGAAGCTGAGAATCTTTAATTTGAAAATCCTCATAAGAAGAAAATTCAATGTTCTGAGCAGAAGATGAATTTGATTATAAAAATGTGTGATATGAGAGTCAATTATTACAGTGTATGAAGTGTGCAGTCTACTGATTGCCCAAGCAGATATTCTAGGCTGCACATGGATGAAAGTATGTCTCTCATGATGCATTTTAGTGAAGAGAAATACTTCAAGCTAGTCGAAGGGACTAAACTCTCCAACTGACATTTCTTTTTCCATATAGACAGAGCACTACGTGTGAGAGTCATATTAGGAATTCTCTCTCCTGTGACTTCAAGATACTCACTGAAATCAAATGCATAAACAAAGAACACTTGTATAATTTAATTATAAGCATGCTGTTAGCTTGAGCTCTTTCTGGGTTATTCTGGGAAATGCTAGAATGACGTAATACATTTGTTTCTAGTATGGAATTAGATAGCATTTCTATCCCATGTTTTTTACCCATATTAACATGAGAGTGTCTGGCTCAGGGTATTCAGTAAATTTACTGCTATTAATAAAATTCAGCTCTATACTAATCTTGCTTTTAAACAATGCTTTTAATAACTACAGCTTTTTGGTTTTTGCTTTGTTTGGGGGAATTTTATTGAGGAACGTTCATGTATCGAGATCAGCATAGTGGGAATGTTGAAAGCTAAATGTTGAAACAATTTCAGGCCATGATGTAAATGAAATGTTGGGTAGCATGTCAAGAGAGGAGTTTAGAATTGAGAATATGGTGTGAAAAGTGGGTAACATTTCACTTGTTTAGAGTTCTCTCTTGAGCAGTCTCTCAATCTGAAGTACGGCCAGGATCCAGGGAGTAAGGAAAAAAAGATTCCTCAGGGCTCAAAGTAGGTCTATCTCCCTTCCTCTTGGGTCCTTAGCCTTAAAGGAGGGGCCTCTGCTTTCCTTTAACCCTTTAAGACTTGATGTGCCTCCATCACATTATTTTACATAAGTTTTCTAACAGATTTGTTAGGTTGTCAAGCCTACAGATAATTGAAAGGAAGAGGAATTGCTGAAGTAGGAATGACACTCTTCTAGGGGAGGAACTCCTCCTCCTCCCAAAAAACACCCCAGAATAAAACATTCTAAAAGCATAGCAATATAGAGCTTTCCTGTCAGGATCTGTTAGATAAACAGCCCAACTGCTACTTCAGGGAGCTTCTAAGGAAATGCATGATCTAATGATCAGTGAAGGAAAATTGAATTATATTTAAAGCAATGTCAAGAAAGCAATTTTTAATGTAAGTCTATTCAAAGTAGTAAGTTTTTATATTTAAATGGCATCTATTCATCCATAAAACTCTTTAATTCATGAATATGAAGTATATGAAAGTCATATATTGAAATACTTAGTCCACACCTATTTTGATCAATGAAACCCACAATGCTTAGTTAATAATCAACTCTTACCATAGCATTTCTTGAGAACCCACTGCATACAGAGATTTCAAGATAGTAATAGAAAAAGAAGGCATATGATCCCTGACCTCTAGGAACTTGCCTTCTGAGAGGAAACTGAGCCTGATGTGACAGGTGAACATATGCTTGTGTTTCAAACTATGGAAGGATAATCTGAGCAGAGTGCTATGTACTTAGGAGACTTCTCAGAGGAGAGGGGAGGTTTCAAATGAATTTAGAAAAAAGTGGGGAAGGATTCATATATATATTCATTATTCATATATATATATATATATAAAATAACAAATACATTGGTGTTTGTCTCTTTCCATTTACTGTTGAGTGTAAATTTAGCTTACTCTTCAACAAATCAGAAAGTAATAAAATATTATTTAAAGTAAGGAAGGATTGGGCTGTTTGTTTTTTTATGTGTTGTATGAGATGTTTATATATTCTGAAAATTAAGCTCTTGTCAGTCTCACCTTTTGCAAATATTTTCTCTGATTCCATAGGTTTTTGTTTTATTTATGCTTTCCTTTGCTGTGCAAAAGCTTACAAGTTTCATTAGGTCCCATTTGTTTACATTTGCTTTTTTTTCTATTGCCTGGGTAGACTGCCCTAGGAGAACTTTACTGAGATTTATGTCAGATAATGTTTTTCCTATGTTTTGTTCAAAGAGGTTTATAGTGTCTTGTCTTATATGTAAGTCTTTAAGCCATTTTGAGTTTATTTTTGTATATGGTGTGAGGGAGGGAGTGCTGTAACTTCACTGATTTGCATGCAGCTCTCCAGTTTCCCCACCACCATATGCTGAGGAGAATGTCTTTACTCCATTGTATGGTCTTGCATCTTTGTCAAAGATTAATTGACCAAAAGTTTGTGGGTTTATTTCTGGGCTCTCTATTCTGTTCCATTGATCCATATGTCTGTTTTTACACCAATACTATGTTTACTGTTTTGATTACTGTAGCTCTGTAGTATTGTCTGACATCTGACTGGGTTATTCCTCCAGCTTCATTCTTTTTCTTCAGTTTTGCTTTGACAATAATGGATCTTTTGTTATTCCATACAAATTTTAGGATTATTTGTTCCAGTTCTATGAAAAATGTCCTGGATATTTTGATAGGGATCACATTAAATCTATAGATTGCTTTGGATAGTATGGCCATTTTAACAATATTAATTTTCCAATCCAAGAACATGGGATATCTTTTCATTTCTTTAAGTCCTCTTTAATTTCCTTAATCAATGTTTCGTAGTTCTCCACATATAAGTCTTTCTCTTCTTGGTCAGATTAATTCCTAAGTTTTTAAACAAACAACCCAATCCCCAAATGGGCAGAAATCCAAACAATTCTCCAATGAAGACATACAAATGGCCAATAGGCACATGAAAAAATGCTCAGTTATCACTAATTATCAGAGAAATTCAGGTCTAAACTACAATGAGGTATCATCTCACACTAGTCAAAATGGCCATCATTAAAAAGTTCACAAATGATAAATGCTAGAGAGGGTGTGGAGAAAAGGGGACTGTCCTACACTGTTGGTTGGAATGTAGTTTGGTGCAGCCACTATGGAAAATAGTATGGAGATTCCTCAAAAGGTTAAAAATAGACTTACCATATGACCCAGGAATCCCACTCCTGGGCATATATCCAGAGGAAACCTTAATTCGAAAATACACATGCATCTCAATATTCATAGCAGCATTATTTACAATGGCCAAGACATGGAAATGACCTAAACGTCCATCAACAGATGACTGGATAAAGAAGGTGTGGTATATTTATACAATGGACTACTACTCAGCCATAAAAAAGATTAAAATACTGCCATTTGCAGCAGCATGGATGGACATGGAGATTGTCATTCAAAGTGAAGTAAACCAGAAAAAGGAAGAAAAATACCATATTACATCAGTCATATGTGGACTCCCCCCTAAAAAAAAAAACAAATGAATTTATTTACAAAACAGAAACAGACTCACAGATGTAGAAAATGAACTTAATGGTTACCAGGGGAGGGTGGGATGAGAAGGGATAAATTGGGAGTTCAAGATTTGTAGTTACTAATATATATAAAATAGGTAAACAATAAGTTCATACTGTATAGCACAGGGAACTATATTCAATATCTTGTAGTAACTTATGGTGAAAAAGAATATGAAAACAAATATATGTATGTTCATGTATGGCTGAAGTATTATGCTGTACACCAGAAATTGACACAACATTGTAAACTTACTATACTTCAATAAGAATATAATATATACCAAAAATAAATAAATAAAGTAAGCAAGGCACATACTCCACTGCTACCACCATTTGGGTAAAAGCATGAGACAGTCATTTAAAATCTTGCTGAGAACTTCTCCATTTATTCTGTACTACCTACTTGCTGCTAAGTTACAGTCCTTGGCTGGAAAAGAGATAAAATCTTTAATTTTCTGTTTTTATTCTTTTATCCCTAGGTTACTGTATTAATCCACCAGTAATGCAGAGTATGTATTCAAGTCTCCCCTTAAAAGCCGTTATCAGACTGGGGAAACACTGGAGTATGCGTGTAAAACAGGATACATTTATATGTGGCCTTATTACCTCTTAACTACTTGTGAGCCAAATGGCTCATGGAGCTTTCTTGAAGAAGCTTGTTTAAGTAAGGAAACAAAACCACTTTGTTTGTTGTTTTTTGCTTTCTCTGGAAATGTTTACCCATTTAAGGTCTGTTTTCTGCTACAACAATGATGATTTTCTTATGCAAAATTAGGTTTTAGATATCAAGGCATTTTTTCAGACTCTGAGAAATCACCAGGAAAGCTTTCTCTTGATGATTGGTTGCTGTTTTAAGTTTGTCCTTATAATAATTAGAGCAATATTTCATCACTAGAAAAGAGCAGTGTAGAATTTTGATCTTGATTTAAATGTTTTGAAATTGGTATTAAAAATGAATTTGAAAATTTTCTTTTAGAAAAAGCATGTCCAGAGCCAGAAATCAAAAATAGTGAAATATTTGCCCCAAATGACAGCTTGTCGTTTGGAAATGCAGTTCTGATATCTTGTAATGTGGGGTAAGTAAATTGCTCCTTGGAGGAAATAAGGTAAATGTTACGATTTCTTTGTTTCTCACCTAAAAGTTGCTTTCATTTTACTTTCTAGGAGACAAGCTATGCTTGTAGCCAGACAGCCCTAGGGCTGTTTAAGAAGATTTAAAAGATGTGTCCCTAATAGAAATTTAAATTGAAGAAAAGTGAAATTGTATACTTACTATATGTAGTATTAAGCCTATTGAAAGCATCAAAAATGTAGTAATCATGGTGACTTTATCCTTAACCACAAAGTGCATCTTATTTAAAATGGCCAACACTCAGAGCCGAAGGAGGGCTCACCAAATGTTGTGTTGTTGAACACACATTTTCCTTTCTTATCTATGGTCTTTCATCTATTTCCTTTCTTATCTTCCTGTTTGCTTGTTCTATTCATTATTGTGAGTAGGGTATTGAAATGAAAATTTCCAATGATTATTATAGAAATGCCTATTAGGCACATATGTATATTTCTTCCTTCAATTTTTTTCAGGTTTTGCTTCATATATTTTGATGGTCTGTCATTAGGTGCATAAATGTTTATAACTGTTATACCTTATTGCAGTATCAAATCTTTTATTGTTATGTTATGTCCTTTGTCTATTGTAAGCTTTTTTCATTTAAAGTCTGTTCTGTCTGATATTAGTATAGCCAACCCTGCTTACTTTTACTTCTATTTGCAAGGAATATCCTTTAACTTTCAGCCTATTTGTGTATGTGGATGTACAATGTATCTCTTTATACACAACCTATAGTTGGATCACGAGTTTCTATGCATTTTGCCAACCTCTGTCTTTTGATTAGAATATTTAACTCATTTAAATTTGAAGTAATTACTGATAATGGGAGACTTGTATCAGTAATTGTGCTATTTGTTTACTATATGCCTTATAGCTTTTTTGGCCCCTGATTTCATGCTATACTGTCTTCTTTTTTGTTTATTGACTTTTTAAAGTGAAATGTTAAATTCCTCACTCTTTTCTTTTGTGTATATTCTACGGCTATTGTCCTTGTGGGGATTACATTTAACATCCTAAAGTTATAACATTCTAATTTGAATTTATATCAGCTTAACTTAATAACATACAAAAACTCTGCTCTCCTTTACAGCTTTGTCCCCACCCATTTGGTTGTTAATATTAGCAAATTAAATCTTTATTTATTATGCATCCCAAAACATAGACTAATAGTTCTTTAAAATGGATTAGTCATTTTAAATTTGGTTTTCTATATAATATGTATTATATAAATAATATATAATAATAATTGGGGTTAAAAACAAAAGTTAAAGTAATTCTAGTTTTTACACTGATAGTTTTTTGTTTGTTTGTTTGTTTAAATGTGTTGCTCTTTAAAGTATGAAGAAAACAAAAATTTCAGTTACAAACTATTTTTACAATACTACCTTTATAATTACCCATGTATTTACCTTTAGTGAGATGTTTATTTCTTTATATGGCTCAAAGTTACTTTCTAGTATCCTTTCATATCACCTGGGGCATTTCTTGCAGGGGAGGTCTACTGGTCGTGAACTACTTCAGATTTTGTTTATCTGGGAGTATCTTAATTTCTTTGTCTGTGACCAGAAACAGTCAGCAAACAGAGCACAGATTCTTCCTTTTCAGCTACCCTAACTCCTGCAACCCATGTGTACACTGCTTCAGAAACCTATGCAGAGCTGCCTGCCACACTGCTGAGGGTGGGGACGGGAGCTACTACTTTGCAAAGAGCTGACAATGACTGATATTAATGCAATTTACCTGCCTGGGCTTTTCCCTGGAATTTGCAAGCCCTCAACAGACTCTAGAGTTCCAAAATAGTGACATCAGGCATATTCTGACATTGCAATTACTGTCTAGTTATGGAGACAGATTTTTAGTGCTTCCAAAACTACCATCTCCCAAAGTCCCCTCCTGAAACACTATAATATTCAGAAAATGATTGAGCCTTGACAAAAGTCAACTGGAATCATGTACAAGCAGTTTTGCTGACTGTTTTTTAATTGATCAATGAAAAATGATTTAAAATATTAAATCATCCTCTCCATGGTTATACAGAGAGAACCTACTGGTCACTTTGAGGGGCACCAACAGTTCAAGTCATAGACTCTCTTCAAAAAAAGTTGTAGCCTATTCAGAAACACAGTATATACTAATGCAATATATTAAAGTAAAATTGTAAGTAAGAAGTGACAAAAATATAGAACTATTTAGGATCATTACAATGAGAGTCCAGAAGGAGGAGAGAGTTCTGTGAATTTAAACCATCAGAGAAGATTTCATCAAGAAGTGTTCAGAGCTATTTATTCCTAGAAAGATATTCTGATCTAAAGAATGTAATAAGAGCTAAAACTCACCTAGCACTCACTATGTCAGATGCTAACTCATCTAATTCTCAAAACAACCCATGATGTGTATACTATTATCCTTTTTATATAGATGAGGAAACTGAGCAAGAGAAACATTAAGAGACTTGCCCAAGCTCAAATAACAAGTCAGTCTTAGAGCCGGGATTTAAATGCAGACAGGCAAGTTCTAGAGCCTGGTTTCTCTTCTCAATAAGGACTGAGCAGAGTGGTGTGAGCAAAAGCATAGAAGTGAATGTGTGATGCATTTGCTGGAGACAGCAAAGGGAGCCAGACTGACAGGCGTGACCGAGTAAACATTTTACTCTGGGCCAATGTGTGTTCACATGCAGAAACTCTTTATTTGATTAAAATGGAAGATTTGGTTAGCGCTTCCATATATTGTGTCTTTTAAGGAACATCTCCCTTAAACTACTGTGTTGCAGAAACACAGCCATATAAAAATGTTCTTCTTTATTATGGGCATTGTGTTAACTGGTAAAGAAACAGTAACCTTTTATTTTTTCATTTAGTTATTACTTAAATGGAAAAAAACCCTAACTTGTAACCTCATTGGAGGAGAAGTTTATTGGGATGACAAGTACCCAGTATGTGAAAGTAAGTAAATTCTCACTTTAGAATTTAGACCAGGAATTTTCAAACTTTTTGGGCCTAGGGACCTGTTTATGCTTTTAAATCAACAGTGGTCCCAAAGAGCTTTTCTTTATGTGAGTTATGTCTATTGATGTTCTTTATATTGGAATTAAAAGATTTAAAAACACTTAATTATTAATTCATTTTTAAGAAAAGTAAACTCAATACATGTTAAGATATACACATATTTTTATGGAAAAATCAAAGTTTCCAAAACAAACAGTAAGAATGAGGCATTGTTTTATGTTTTTGCAAATCTCTTCAATATCTGGCTTAAAGGAGGACATTGGGACTCAATCTGTTGGAAAAAATCACAGTTTATGGAAAATTTCACTATACACTTACATGGATAACAGTGAAAAAAGACAATATCTTGGTATTATTGTGAACCACTGATGTAGTAAAATGATACGTTTATAAATTATAAAGCACTTCTCAACTAGCAATGAATTTCATTTTTCACCATAAACAAATTCTTTCATTAAATTTTCATCTTTTATGATGACTAGAATAAAACTTAGCATGCCCTAAAGTTTTATTCAAAGAGATAAATATAGATATTGAAGAAAATGAGTTTTGTTCTTGACAGTACATTTCTACATGATTTGAATTTGGGATAATACCTTTTCTCATGGAAACTTCTAAATGGATATTGAATTCACAGCTAACTTCTAGAAATCATATATGAAATCAGTTACTAAAGGACGTTTATAGGACTTTACTAATGCTGCCTTAATTGTTCACCTTCTTTTGCCTTTATTTTCTCTTTCTTTCCCCTTTTAAGGAGTTTTATGCGGACGACCTCCAAAAATAGAAAATGGAAAACACACCAATAGCTACAGGAATATATTTGAATATAGTGAATTAGTGACTTACAGTTGTGATCTGTTAAATGGACCAGATCAATATTCACTTGTTGGAGAGAGCAAGCTTATTTGTTCTGCACATGGCAATTGGAGCAGTGATGCTCCTAAATGTAAAGGTAACAATATTTCCATATGTTTCCTTCTTCATTTCTAAATACTGTGAAACACTTTGTAACTAGTTTTACCTGTCAGCAAAGGAAGCAGTCATTTGTGCTTCCTCCTGACTAATTTAATTTAGGCCAAATCCAATAGGAAATATTTCCAGTTGTGGGTTTCCCACCCCTTACCCCTAGCATTCCAGTTTACACATTGTGAACTACTGTGTGTGTATGTATATGATTTTTTTCTTGAAAAAAATAAAAAAACTCAACACACACTACCTCAAAAATATGAAAGTTTCTTCTTACATTTCAAAACGTCTGAAAGTTCTGGCTACAAATAATGGTGGAATAAATTTTAAAAGACTAACTCTCTCATTGATAAGGATGATAAACTCCGGACAAAATATATTTTAAAAACAATGTTTAAGGCACTAGAGACTGAAATAAAGTAGGGAGATGCTAGAGGGAATTTGATTCTCAAGAGAAAACAACCACTGAATAACAGGAAAATACTCTTTCTAAGTATATATGGAACATTCTCTAAGGTAGACCATATTCAGTAAGGTTATTTTTAACAAATTCCAAAGGGTTGAAATCATTCTGAGTGCACTATCTGATCACAATTAAATGAAAGTAGAATTAAAACAGAGATAATCTAGAAAATTCCCAAATATTTGAAAATTATGCAAAACACTTCTAACTAACCCATGAGTCAAAGATGAAGTAACGAGGACATTAGAAAGTATTTTGAGCTGAATAAAAATGAAATATTAAAATTTGTGTGATACAACAAAAGCTTTGTGTAAAGGGAAATTTACATCATAAAATACTTATATTAGAAAAAAGTAAAAGTCTCAAATCAATATTCTAAACTTCTACCTTAAGAAACTAAAAAAAAATTAAAAATATAAAAGCAAACAAACACAAAACAAGGAGAAATAAAGTGATTATAAAGATAGATAGAAATCAATGAAATTGTAAAGAGAAAGTAACAGAGAAAACCAATGAAAACAACCCTAGTTCTTGGAGCAGATCAATGTAATAGATAAAGCTACAGCTGGGCTGACAAAAAAAAAAAGACATTTAATAAATCAGAGAAAGACAAAAATCTGTGTGTTATCACTTATACGTGGAATCTAAAAAGTACAACAAACTAGTAAATATAACAAAAAAGAAGCAGACTCACAGATATAGTGGTTACTAATGGAATAGGGGTGAAGGGGAAAGACAAGGGTGGGGAAGTTGGAGGTACAAACTATTGTGTGTAAGACAGGCTACAAGGATGTGTTGTACAACATGGGAGTATAGCAAATATTTTGCAATAACTGTAAATAGAGTGTAACCTTTAAAAATGTATAAAAATTAAAAATGAATGAGTTTTTCCAAAAAAGAATGAAAAAGAGAACAACACTAAATATTCTTCAGAATTTAAGGGGATAATAAGGGAATAGTACACAAACAACCTTATGTCTATAAATTTGACAACTTATGTGAAATTGACAAATTCCTTGAAAGATAAAAAGTACCAAAATAACTTCACACAAAGATACAGGTAAGCTGAATAGTCCTATATCTATTAAGGACATATAATGTGTTGTTAAAAACCTTCCCACAGTGACAACTGAGGCCCTGATGGATTCCTTGGGGAATTGTACCAAACATCGCAGAAATAAGTAATAGCACCTCTACACAAACTCTTCAAGAAATGTAAGATTTCATGAGAACATTACCCTGATACCTAACTCAGACAAAAACATTGACAGAAAATTATAAACAATATCCTTAATGAATATAGAACTTAACAAAATATCAACGAACCAAATCCTGCCATATATAAAGATAAAAATGCATCATAAACAAATAAATTTATTCCACAAATGCAATGTTGGTCAAATTAAAAAAATTAATCAGTATTATTTACCATATCAAGAGAGTATAAAGAAAAAATTAATATGATCATCTCAATAAAGGCAAAAAAAAGAGCAACTGGCAGAATTCATCATCTTTTCATTATAAAACTTATTGGCAAACTAGAAATAGAAGGGAATTAGCTGTCTCAACCTGATGAAAGGAATATCAGAAATCTCACAACCAACATTATACTTAAAGGTAAAAGACTAATTTCTTTCCCCTTCAAGGTAAGAAGAAGTGTATTTATACTCACCACTCTGTTCAATATTGTACTGGAGGTCCCACCCACTCTGGTAAGACAAGAGAAAGAAAAA